CCCACCCCACCTTCGGCTTGCTTTCAGTGTGGAGACCACCATTTCCCCTTGCCGACCACTTTTTTTCTAGGAAACCACTTTGGGTGGTCGTCTGACCACTTAAAGTAGCAGGGCGACCACCTTTTTTGGTCGGCCTCTTTCCCCCTGTTTTGTCAGATTGTGTGGATGCCAGCTGTGCCAGCTGGAGGGCACAGACTGTATCCTCCATACACGTGTATGGAGGGATTGCATCCATGTTTAGTTTCTCCAAGAAGCTTGAACCCTTTGTTTCTTCTATAAGAGAGGCTCTTCCTCTCCTTGAACTAGGTTCTGAAAATTTCCTAAGGCACAAACACATATCTCTCTCTATATCTCTATATTTTGAGCCAAAAGTGTATATTGTTCTTGACCTTTAACACCCCAACTCTTAGCCATACATCCTTACCATTGAACTGAGGTTCCTAGAGGTTCCTTTTTGGAGGTTAAAATGGTGGTTTTTGGCTGAGGAACTTGCTGGTTTTGCTGAGCTTCAAGGGTAATCTCTTTTCTCTTTTTTTAAGCTTTGTCTTGATCACACTCTTAGCCATACTTGCATGCTTATTTGAGCTTTGTTGTCAACTGAAAAAGCTCCATATTTAAGTGTTTTTCGTGTTTGTTTAAGGCTCTTTTGGTGCTGAGGGTCATATTCCCTCTTGCATGTCCTATTTGGCATTGTTTTGTGTCATGCCATAAGGCCTTTAAGTTAACCCTTGGATGGCCTTTTAGCCACTGAAATCTAGTGGATTTTCAGTGGTTGGGATGTGGTTTTGAGGCCCTAAATTAGAGAGGGGTTGTTGCTTGCATTTTTGGCCTATCAAAGGAGCATATGTTTTCATAATTTCAAGGCTCGGTTCAGGCACTTTTTGGTGAATTTTAGGGCCTGCCTAGACTCTGTCTATGGCTAGTTTGGTCACCTTGGGTTTGCCTCTTGCATGTGCAGAGTAATCCCTTTTGTGGCTTATCAAAGTAGCATGTCATTCTTGCATGTATTGGCCATATTTTAGTGGGTTTTTGGTCATCATTTGGCATGCGATGACTCTGTTTTCGGCTGGTTTGGTAGCCTCTCACATGCTTCATATGCTTGTAGTGTAAATCATGTTTACTAGCTTAGAATGCATGATGTTTTGGCCCTCAATTCTAGCATATTTTGGCCTTGCTCCAACCTGGTTTTGTTTATATTTTGGGCTGCCTTGGCTCTGTTTTGAGGCCTTTTGGTCGAAAGATGCTTTCCATGCATGCTTGTAGTGTAATAGCCTTGACTACCTTCGAATTTTGAAGTCCCTTGCATGCTTAACTTGAGTTATTTTCATGTTTTGGCATCATTGAGCAAGATATTTCAGAGCACATAGGGCTGTCATACTTCCATGTTTTCCACTCTTTAAGTGCCCTTCAGAGTTGTGCTTTTATACTCTATTTTGTGAGCCATTGCATGAGCTTCATTTTTGTGCATTTCAAGCCATCATCCCAACTCATTTTACTACTGTTTTGGGCCTGCATAGGGTCTGTTGGGAGTTGGTTTGGCCATTTGAGCATTGCCTTGCATGCCTATAGTGTAATACACTTCACTAGTTTCGATGCTTGAGCCATTCAACATGCATTACATGAGTTGTTTGCATAATTCGAAGTCATTTTGTATGCCATTTCAGAGCTGAAACATGTGTCATTGCACTGCATATTTCATCCTTTCAATGCGTTTGGAAAGTTGTGTTTTGTGCCCTAGACTTGGGGCCGTTGCATTGTGCATGATCGTGTGTGTTTTGATGCCTTATTTTCATCATCTAATGGCCACTAATTTGGGTGTGGCTGATGTCCGTCCATTTTGGTTTAAGTCCATTTTGCATTGAGTATGCCATTGTAGTTCATAGCATTGAGTATGTCATTGTTAGTTCATAGCATTATGTATGCTAGTTTGCATGTTATTCCTTGTATGTTTGCATGACTTAGTTGCATTGCATTATGATTGCATGCTAGATTTGCATTGGTGCATGCCTTGTTTGTTGCATTGTGTTTGAAATAGGGGTTAGTCCAAACACGGGGAACGAGGGACGTTTCATGCTTGAAATGATTAAATGTGCCTCGATTCCCGGTCGCCGACACTCTTGACTACCCATGACAGAGTTATTGGCTTTAGGTGCTTGTTTGTGCATTTATTTTACATTGAGTCGTGCAATTCGACTCCTCGGCCATCATGCTTCGAGACGCATGATTGGTGGCCCGGGGGTCAAGGACTACACTCCCTTGAGCTTATGCAATGATGGGGAGAGTGGTCGCGCACACATGTGTTGCGAATACTTTGCCATTTCTCTCTCTTGCCTTCTGTTGCAGAAAACCAGAAACCAGGGGCAGAAACTGGTCGGTCGACCAGATAAAGTGGCAGGCCGACCACATTTTCTGGTTTTCACCACAAAAGGTGGTCGACCGGTGGTCTCCAAGGCCAATATCTGGTCGGTAGCCTTCCCACAGGTTCCCTTGGTGGAGTTTCAGCCTTCTGGAGCTTTGTGCAGTGTTCTGAGGTCAATTGCAAACAGAGGTAAGTCGGGGCATCGCGAGGGATTTCCGAACAAGGCAATTCAAGCATACATGCATCCTTTGTCATTCAAAGTAGAGCTGGGGCAGCCCACATTCATTTAGTTTGCATGCTCATTTGGATTGCTTACTTAGTTAATGTTGTGTAATAATTAGCTGTAGCTTGTTATTCATTTTGTGTGTAATAACTAGTTTAATTAGATTAGCTAGTTGGTTCGGTATTATTCATTCGGACCCTCCGTCGAGAGGGCACAACTTTTGTAAATAAGTGTGCGTGTGTGTGATGCATGTCTTCCAACCCCCATTTCTTTCTTCCTTTTATTTACCAGCTTACGGTGGTTAGTTTTAGGGCATGTTTCAATTAGCATCCTTATGCTCGCATGTTTGCATCCATTCATCTGTCTTGCATGCACCGAGCTCGGCGCATCATACTAACTGCATTGTATTTCAATTTTTGTTTGAATACATGTATCAAATTGCATTTCACATGGCATTTTAGAATAGCCGAGCCTATCTTAGTTGCACTTTGTATGTGTTGCATTAGGCATTCTTGACATAGCTAGGATCATGTACAGTGAGTGTTTATGCTTTAACATCCTTGCATGTGTGTGAGTGATTGCCATGATAGCATGCTTGCCATGAGGCTATTTGCTTATGTGATATAACTGCCTGAATGCCTGTGGGTGAAGGTTGGATTACTTGAATTGGAACAATTCATTGATTGCGAGTTTTAGGCCCACTTGAGAGTGGCAAATCACCATGTTTTCTAAGCTCAGTTGAGGGTGGCAAAATCCGCAATTTAGCCTACTTGTGAGTAGCAAACCGCTTTAAAAAACAAACACGAGATGTTTTGTTCCAACTCAGGTGATCCAGTCTATACTTGTTTGCCGTGCGCATAACATAGTAATTTTAGGCTAAATAACCGGAATAAGAGCGCATGCGTTTTCAAAAATAACATATCATGTTAGTAAAGGCCGATCTTTGATCGGGCGAGTGGGGGTGTTCATTGCATGACCTTCCCCTCTCGTGCCCAAGTTCCCAAGCCAAGGCAACTTTGGTGATGACGGACACGTGGCCTTAGGCACGAGTCAGGGTTTCCTAAATTCCCCAAAAATAAAATATTTAGGTGGCGACTCTGTATCTGGCAAAACAGTCTATGTTTGGCACTTCTTTCTAAAAATCAGTTTTTCAAAATGATTTGCTAGATTTGGACTCTTTGCTGATTTATCGATCTTGCATTGCACTTTGTGAGATTAGATTCAGAACCGTGACATTGAGTCCGAACTGTAGTGAGCCCAATGAACAAAACGGGATTTTCCCGGGACGTTCGGGCGCGTCTACAACAACATACTAAAAGATTATTTAGTGTACTTTTTTCAAACGTAACAACACAACACTCCAACATTTTTCCAAACGTAACACTCTAATGTAACACACTCTAATGTAACACACAAAAAAACCATTAGTGCATTTTTCCCAAACGTAATACTCCAATCAATGGAATCCTAAACGTAACACTCTAATATAACATATATACAAAAAAAGAAGAAGAAAAAGAACCATCAGTGTACTTTTTCCAAACGTAACACTCCAATCAATATAATCCCAAACGTAACACTTCAATATAACACATACAAAACTTCTTAGTGTACTTTTCCCAAACGTAACACTCTAATAAATGTAATACCAAACATAACATTCTAATGTAACACACAAAAATATAAAAAAAATTCTTAGTGTACTTTTCACAGGCGTAACACTCACAGTTTAAAATTATACATTTGTCAAAAACTTACTACAAAAATTTTGTACTTCTTTTTGAATGATTTGAAGAATCTCACCTTTTTTTTTGGGAGTGTTACGATAAAAAAAAGTACACTTATGAATTTTTTTGAGTGTTATGTTGGAGTGTTACACTAAGCAATTTTTTATTTTATTTATTTATTTATTTTTGCAGTGTTACATTTGAAAAAAAGTATACGGATGAGTTTTTTTTGAAATCTTACATCGGAGTGTTATAATAACGAGTTTTTTTTTTCGAGTGTTACATTTGAGTGTTACGTTTAGAAAAAAAAAAATACTAATGAGTATTTTTGAAATATTATATTTGAGTGTTACGTTTGAAAAAAGTGTACTAAGGAATTTTTTTTTTTTTTTGAGTGTTACACGGGAAGGTTTTTTTGAAGTGTTTCATTTGAGTGTTGCATTTGGAAAAAAAATATACTAAGTAATTTTTTTTAGAGTCTTACATTGGAATGTTACGTTTGAATATTACATTAGAATATTACAATTTAAATTATACGTTCGCTCAAAACTTACTAATAAATTCTTGTATTGCTTTTAAAATATCCTACATTTCACATCATTTATACTATTTTGAAATATTTAGAAAATCTCACATTTCAACTCATTTCAAATTAAAAAAAAATTCTTCTATAAAAATTGATTCCAAATTGATGTAACTGCTGATTATTAAGCCAAAAAATAGCCCCAGTCGAGGATATGGGTGAACCGAAGCAGAAGATGAAGACGAAAAATTTTCGGAAAAGAAATATAGAAGACGTAGTAGAAGAAGACCAAATTCTAAGAAACAATGGTTCAGATGGCGAAGAAGAAGAAAGGCGGTAAACTTTTTGGAGCATCGTGTTGTTGTTGTTTTTTTGGCTATTTTGCTGAACCATCTAATATTATTAGGGTTTTGTGCTTCTTCTATTCCCATTTATTTTTGGTTCAGATTGGCGTTAGAAGAGGTGAAATTCCTTCAGAAACAGAGGGAGAAGAAGTGGGGAATTGCAGCAATAAGTAGTAGCACAATAGTGCAGCGTAGTGGTGTTGGCGGCGGCGGTGGTGGTGGTGGTTTGGTTGCAAAGAAAGCAAGCGAGAAGAACGATGGGGATGGGGAGAAAGACGAATTGGTCTTGCAGGATACCTTCGCTCAAGAAACTGCTGTCATGGTCGAAGACCCCAATATGTACGCTCATTTCTTCTTCCTTTCCTTCTCTACCTGTGTTGTGTTTTCTTCCCCTCTAATCATATCTATTTAATTTGAATACCCTTTTTTCTTTTTTGGTATTTTTGTTACACACTGCTAAATTTAGTATTTCACACTATCTGCTTGTAGTTAACAAAACGAAACCAAACCAAGCATTGTGTCTAGGGTTGTTCATGGGTCGGTTTTGATACTAAATTTAGCACCAACCCAATCATAATCGGTTCAAAATTTTTGGACTCAGAACCAAACCAATTATGCAGTAGAACCAGCCCAACCCAATGCAGCTTGGGTTGGTTCAGACAATATTAAAAATAAGTGAATAAATCAATAATAAGGCTTTAACGTTTAAACATAACACAGACAAAGAGTAAATTATTGTTTAATGCAAGCTAATACGAATTAAATCTAACTCAACTGTAAACATAACTAATACAAATTAAATTCATTCATATAATCAATACAAATTAAATCAACTGTGAAATCTAGCTTAGTCTTCTAGTATGTCCTTCGTCCACCTAATAATTTTTGTATGTGAAAAATTATATGGTGAAATCAAGTTCATTGTAATAGACCAATTGGGTGAAAATATGCCAATATAAATAAAATTAAAAAAATATATATATGTTTGGTTTTCAAGTTAGTTTGGTTTAGACAAAGCTTAAATCAAGAACTAACCCAATCCTATCGGGTTGATGATTTGAAGACTTAGAACCAAACCAATGCACTCAACTATGAAGTACAGACTCCTTTTCGGACGTCACATACATGTGTTCGATTCATTGGAAAGAGTCGAACACGTTGGGAAGCTTGGTACATGCTGGGGACAAGCTGGGGACACGTTAAGGACACGCTGATGACTATTTTTAATTTTTTTTTACTAAAATAGCATACCTAAGTTTGATAAAATTAAATATTTGACATAAAATACAAATTAAATATTTAAAAATATGACATAATAAATATATAAAATTATATGTTTTGCATGTATCCATAACATGTGGTGTCCTGCATTTTTTAAAAATTTGCGTATCAGCGTGTTTGTGTCATGTCAACTGTCCATGTCCGTACTTCTTATTAGGCACTCAAAAACCAAACCAACCTAACCCAAAGAGGTTGATTTGGTTCGGTTCTTCGATTCATTGAGTAATTTGAATACCCCTAATTGTATCCAATCAAGTGGAGTTAGCTACACAAATCATTTTTTGTCATTCAATTCTATTTTGATCGACTGCGTGTTTAGTTAAATTAAATAAATTCATATATATTTTTTTACTACAGCATCCCATTTCAAGGTCTTCCCCTCATCCCCCTAGCATATCTCCATTTGGGGTGATCCTTTTTTCTTCTCCCCCCTAGCATCACCATTCAGCTCTATCTGTGCTCACCAACATTTGCAGAAATGTGATGGAACCAGAGTTCTATCTCTATGGTACTTTAGTGGCTGAAAAAGCACGGAAGGTCACTTTGAGAGGATTTGACCTCCTTACCTTTAAGCAAAATTGTTATTGAATGCATAAAATAGTGTTAGAATTTACCTACACCTACCACCACCTACTACCACACCTACTACACCTACCACCAATTTACCCTCACCTACTCCTCACCTACTACCCAAACCCTCTCCTATATAATGAGCCACTCTGATTTGTAATATAACATATCAATCATCAAATATCAATCAATAATACATATATTTTTTTACATGGTATCAGAGCAGGTTTAGAACCTGATATTTTCGCTTCCCCGGCGGGCGGCAACCTCACCTTAGCTGCCCGCCGGACCTCAACCTAGTCCGCTAAGATTTTTCTTACACATACCCTCGCCAGAGCAAAACCTCCATACCTCGGCGGGTTCAGCTCATCTTCATCTTCCTCTTCCTCAGCCACTCTTGTACCAAAAAGTTGGTGAACAGCTTCTTTTCCTCTGCGCATGTCACTTTCATCTAATACGTCATCATGAATCAAGCTTGCAGTATGGATCATCTCAATAATCTCTGCCAAGCGCCTATGTTCTTTGGTAAGTTCCTAATAAAAAATTTACAGGGACCAAAAAAATAAAATAAAAAAGGGGCCAAAACATTGGTGTAATTAATTCCTTTATTCCAGCACAGTCCCGTGATGATGACATGGAAAATACAACAATAGGAAGCAATTGTATCAAAATATTCTTATTTTTCTTATTATTATCATTATTATTTCTTAGTAATTGTTATTTTTATTATTGTTGTTATTATTTAACAAAATGATTAGGTCATTGGTGAATAGTGTCTAATTAGGTTTTTTGGTTTTTGATGTGTTGATGATAGTTAATTACTTCGTTTGAAGATTGAGGGAGCGGAGGATGCGGTTCATTTATATTTCATCTCTTTTGAAGTTCTTTGAATATCGAGGACTAATCCAAACAAAGTCTGTCCATCTCGTAGTTATGTGGTACTTTTGTTCCAATTATTGGAATGCCATAGCCTCTAGTTGGAAGTGATGTTAAAAAGATTTGGTTGTTATTACTTAAGTATAAGATCATACAAGTTCCCTAAGATAGGCTGATAGGTGTGCAATGAGGAATGGTCTTAATGCTAAAAAGAACAAGGTTGAAAATTGAGATAGAGAGGAAAGACATAATGGACTATGGTATCCTTCAAGATGCAGCCCTAAGCAATTCAAAATGGTGATGAAGGACTTTTCTAGGTGAAACCATGTAGTTGAAGGCTTCGTTAAGTTTAGTAATATTTTATAACTCTTTAGGGCTCATAAGAACTTCATAGTTGCCTTTTTAATTATTTAGTTCATACCTTGATTTAATTCCTTCCCCTTTTCAACTTTTGGTGCACCTTGTTTGCTCCCTTCATATGGTTTTATGTTTTCTAGAGTTCCTTTGATTTTGGTTTGCAGAAATTGGGCACTGATTTTTTTTAAGGAATTAGGAAACTGTATAGTTTGTTTAAGGCATGAATATTTAGTTTTTTGGAATTTTGATGCACTGATATGGTTGAATAATTGTAAAATTTAGCACTAATTTGAGCCTCATCATCATCATCATCATCATCATTATAGTTACTGTCGTTCTTCTTCTTGTTGTTTTATTATTATTGTTATTATTATTATTATTGTAATTATATTAAAAAATAATATAAAGTGTGCAACTGTTCATGCAGCAGAGTAGTATTGCTCAATGATAGTGACTGTGTCATAATAATTGCTAGTTTTGGTTTATTTTGTTTTATATTTAGTGATGAATATCTGTCTCGGATTTAGTTAATTGTTCATGTTTAGTTGTCTGGAATCTGTATGTACTGTCTGATGACTTTATTACTAGAATGCATTGAACATTTAATAATTTCTTTAGTAGGTTCCAGTTTTGTACATGTACCTTAACCCTTGAATCCTCTTCTTCGTTGATATCCTGCATTAGCTTCATATTAAAGCTTACCTGTCAAAAAACAAAAGGAGCTGCATGAGTAATTGCAATAATTGGTTTTCACAAAAATCTTGTGAAAAGGTCTAGAATTTGTTGGGAAAGTAGTGAATGATGTAGAGAAAGGGCCTTCAAAAATCTTGTGGAATTTGGGAGCATTGTTGGGCTGCATGATGGTTAATTTGTAGTCTAGTTGAGCAAGAACTTCCCCTCAAGTTTTGGGGGGACATGGTATATGATATAATATATTTTGGTAGATATGCATGTTATGGTTAGATAAAGATATTACTTTGAAGGTTTGGGTAGAATTGCCTCATTGTTTGGGAGAGATCACCATCAATTACATATTAATTGGCTTCTTTTTAGAGATGACTATTTTTATTGTCAATAGATGAAGTGATAAGAGTAACTGAATATGCTGTTATGTGGTAGATGTGTTTATAAAATCACCTACATCAGGTGGGGAGCCATTCATCGATGTTTGGAAGCAGATGATGTTGAAGATGAATAAAAGTAATATTCGGCAAAGTTTTTAAAGGCAAATGTGTAAGTCGAGGCATTTTACCCCTCATGAGGCGAGGCATAAGCATTTTGAATTTAATATTTTAATATTTAATAAATAAATTAAATATTTTTAAATACTAAAAAAATAAATAAAAATTAATATAAAGGTGCAAATAGTTTTATCCTAAGACATTGAACATTTCACTGGAAAGAAGGAAGGTTGCATTTATTGAAAGTGAAAGACATTCTTAGCTTAGTGATTGAGCTTCTCACTTGAGCATTAACTTTATTTTTTTCTTGATTAATCATTTACTCCTATATAATATAGTTGGAAAATGGGTTATTTTATATTTTTTATGTTTAAAACATTTACTGGAGTAAGTTTAACAAGACCCTAAGGCAACCTCTTCATATGCCTACTCCTTATATGTTTATGCGGAAAAGGCATACAAAGCACAAGCCTTTGGAGATTATAGCCTAAAAATCAAAGCCTTGATGCGTTTTACCTCAGTTTCAAGGCAAGGTGAGCATCGAGGTTAGTCTCAATAAAGCCTTTTAAAACTTTGATATTTACCACTAGATAATCATTATATTGTTTTCACTAGAAAATGATACGAGGCTTGGTGACAATCAACATATTTGTGCTTAAATATCTAATATTTTCCAAGGGAATTCGTAAACTGATAAATGGCTAACATGGCAAAGTAATCCAAACATCAGTTTTATGCCTACAGTTTGCAGGCACAAGAATGCACCTTCATCTATGGATAAAAGCTTAGGGTCGAAAGGTGTGCATAGGTGCCAAAAAAGGTCCAAGTCCCAGCCAACCCAACCTTAGTGCTTTTCCTTGAAGTAGGCGAGGCACCTACAAATGGATGCAGGCCTAGACACAAGATCAAAAGGTGCAAGAGGCCATTAATGCGCGTCTCTTTTTTTTCTTGTGATTTTATTTCATATTTTCCTTAGTAGGTGAAATGAAAAAAGACTTATTGGGCCATAATGGCCCTTGATTTAGTTGTGTGACATTAATACATTGTGATATCCATGAAGTACCTGATCAATTCTATATTTTAAAGACGTAAAGAGTAACCACTTTATGGTTTTGTCTTTGAGTTATGGTTATGGAAAAACCTATATTTTCAAATGAAAATTTTCAATCTCCAAGCTAGTCCTCACCGTCTTTGAAATTATAGAGTCCAAATATTCACTGCCTAGAGTGAATATTTCAATCAATTAAAATTATTAATTTTAAGTTCAATTAAGTTGATTAAAGAGATTAAATCAAGTAAAAGCAATCAATGCATGAACACGCAATCAATGCATGAACACAAGATTTTACGTGGAAAACCCAACAGGGTAAAAAACCACGCTCTCAACACTCAGAGAAAATCTACTATGATCAAATATTACAAACACAAAGTCGAGAGGACTTACAACCTTCACCTAGGTTTACCTAACACGATGTTTTGTAGTAACTCCTACGAGTATAGCATGACCCAATTAGCCTTCTTGATTTTCAAGATTCCACGAAACTTCAGCTCCGATCTCTGTTCACGAACGACTTCGATTACTCAATCGGCCAAGATTGTAGAGCGAACGATGCAAGAATGCATAGTATTTTATGGGTTTTTGAAACTCAACTTTGTATTATTATTATTTTTTTCCTCTATGAAAACACAATAGTTGAGATACTTAATCTCGTATTTAGGAAGGTCTTTTTATAATTAGGAAACAAAAAATATGCAGTAGAGCAATTGATCGCATCCTCTAGCGAGATCGTTCGATCCAAGAGGGATCGATCGCCTTTCGATCACAAGGTTTTTTTTTCGGTCAAAGCATAGCGACTGATAGGGGATCGATCTCCAACAGTGATCGATCTCTTTCCTAATGCGATCGATTGCTCTGTCGATTTTGCACACGATTTTAAATCAAGAGTTTGGAAAACAATATTTATTTATTTATTTTTGCGTAAAACCGTTTTCAAAATGGTGAGAATATGTATGCAAACATTACCTTGATGGGTAAGGGATTGAATTTTCCAAACTTCTTGTGTGGGGCTGACTGAGCATGTGCAATGACCGAAATACCGTCACACAATTAAACTACTCTTAAACCCCCAATTTTGATCACCAGAAATGGCCTACACAAAATATCCTATTTCAATCTCTCCCTTTTTCATTTTTGTGACACAATATTACAACTCAATTTGTACAAATTACAATTTGACAAAAGATAAAATCCTAAAACCCCATGATACCCACAAACACAGAATTCTGGGTAATCTTTTGCAAAGTAATCATCAAGTCAACTTCATAGTCCTGAAACACATAAAAAACAAGAATACCTTGTGAAACAGAATGTGATAGGAAATAAAGTGACATAACAGAAGCAATGATTATGGACAAAAATAGATAGACAATATAATATATCCATTAATCAAAAAGCAATTTTCCAGTATAATGATATGAAAATGGAAGATAACTGAAAACTGTAATACAAAGCAATCAACACATGAACACAAGATTTTACTTGGAAAAGCCAACAGGGTAAAAAACCATGGTCCCAACATTTGGAGAAAATCCACTATGATCAAAGAATACAAACACAAAGTTGAGAGGACTTATAACCTTCACCTAGGTTTACCCAACACAATGTTTTGTAGTAACTCTTACGAGCACAACATGACCCAATTAGCCTTCTTGATCTTCAGGATTCCCTGAAGCTTCAGCTTCGATCTCCGTTCACGAACGGCTCCGATTATCCAATCGACCAAGAGTATAGAGCAAACGATGCACGATGCAAAGTATTTTATGGGTTTTTGAAACTCAACTCTCTATAGAGAAAATATATTTTCTATGAAAACACAATTGTTAAGATACCTAATCTCATGTTTAGGAAGGTCTTTTTATAGAGAAAAAGCAATCCCTAAACAAATAGAATTAGATAACAGAAAATATGCGGAACGTCTATGGCCATAATGCACTGTCCCCTCCCCTTACCCTGTCCTTTCCATTTCACATCATCACATGGCACGCCCCCCTCCTTTTTTTTTTTTTTTTCTTTCTCCAACTAGACCCTTTGTTGTCTTCTTTTTCTTATTCTCTGACATGTTTGATACTCTCTCTATTATTTATTTGTTTGTTTTCCTTTTGATAGACTTTCTTCTAAACCCATTGCCATGTTTGAGACTTCGTATCTGTGTGTGTGTGTGTGCGCGCGCGCGCGTGCACGCCCGCGCTTTGTTTTCATTCTATGTATACTTGTGCACCGACCCTGTGTCTTAGAAATGTATGCAGCGATGTTTTCCTTACACATCATCATACAAAGCTCTATGTGTCAGGGACACATAATTGGTCACACCTCATGGGTCTCCTAATCTTTGCCAAGAGGTAGGACCTAGGGATGCCAAATGAATTTGAGGCTTGTGGCTAAAGACAAACATATTTTTGTGGCTCTCTGCCCTGCTCGAGTCAAGTTGCCTTAGGACAATTGAACTGAGAGGAAAACCTTATCATATTAGATATCTCTTGGAAGCTTCTAGAAGCTTGGTTCCTTTGCCTCAAATGCAAGTCTTCTCACCAAAATGTAGTGCATGGGGTTTTAACAGCCTAACAACTTGGCTTAACTGATTACTGAATATTATGGCATGGATTTGTCACAACCTTTGTAGACAAATTTTGAAAGGTGAAATGTTTCAACACATTTCGAAATTCATGTTACAAATGTCTACTGTTTAGTTTTTGGACTAAACAGTGTTGATTATTCGATAGCAGGTTCCTATTTTTGCTCTGTATTCCAGATCGTTAATTACACATTTTAATCAAATGAAACCTTCGATTAGTGAGGAACATAAAATTTAAAAGAAGAAAATCTAAGGAAAAAAAATATTTTTATTGAATTGTCCCTGAATTGACAAGGTGCAATTGTTGGGCGTGGAACCTTTTGCCTATTGATTGCCATTGTCCTATATGTTTGTGGTGTAGTCTTCTGAGTTCTCTCTGTCTCACTCTTTAGTTGATCTCCAATCTTTGATTTCTCTCTCCTTCTGATTTCTAATCTTTGATCCACTAATCCTCTTTGATTTCTGAGAACGCTTTATCTTTATTTTGAATTTGAAATTCATGTGATAAGAGCGCGTGTTGCAAATTTCAAACTATTATGACAATGTTGTAATGTTATCATAATGAACTCGGTTGATCATGTTAATCTCCCAAATTTTATTCCCTATAGGCCATGTTTGTTTGGGTGGACATGAACTTAGGATTGGACTAATAGTCCAATAAAATTATTAATCCGATATTTGGTTAAACAATTGAAGTACGGATTAATTATTTTAAACTTGACTATTAGTTAAGATAGGATACATAATCCAACGGATTGGTAGTCTAGGACTATTAATCATGGGAATGCTAATCCAGTCCGCCCAAACAAACATGGCCATAGTCCCATGCTGAGTGTCATATTTTGATTGAGTTCTTCAAGTCTTGTAGGCTCTACGTATCACTTGGATATCTTGAATGACATCGTTGAAACACGATGTTGTTGTACTTTATTATGCACTTCAATGGATCATATTGATCTTTTTAGGAAGTGATTGCTTACAACATTTCTACCGTAGGCTCTGTATGTGTCATTGATTGATTGACCGTATTTGAAATTTTAACATAAATTTGGTTGAAATTTATGTTCAACAACCTCTGACATAGATTTGTTGATGTCTTGACGACATGGATTTGCTGCCACCTTGGACATAGATTTGTCAGCAACATTGATTAGAACATGTAGCGACGTGCATGTGCTCACTTTCAATAAATAGAGATGGTATTTCCCTTAAATCACTTACACAGTTACACTAATACGCTTACTTTGAGTTCTGAAACTCTGTACTTTCACATAAACTTTGCACTCTAGATTGTCCACCACTTTTGTTATCTGGTTGGGCTGCATCATCACTCACCCACACCCCTCCCCCCAATAGTCTTTGGTGCCTTCTATGTTCTTTGCTCCTCTATTATGAATCTCCATCACTCTCATCTATAGTCTGATTTCTCTCTTATGTTATGCATCTCTTTGTGCATCTGCTTTATTTGTTTTTTCTTTTGGTTAACCAGACCTTGTTTTGATTTTGCACCTGGGTTGTCAGGTTCTGTGTTAATTTCTTTCTTCTTCTATTGAATTTATCTGGTTCAATAGTGTTGATTGTGATGAATTTTCTGTCGCGATAGTGCTGATTTGCTTATAATGATGAATATATATATTTTTATTTTTTTTGGGTAGGCAAGCGTGTTAGATATACCCCCAAAAAAGATATTACAGTGAGGCTCAATACAACCCAAGGGGGACAAGAAAGACGGCCGAGCAATCCATCAAAGCAAGCATACAAATCAAAGGCTTAGCACTAAAAAAAACTCTTACAGTCCAAGACCTAGGCCAAGGCAACAAACAACATGCAAAGCTAAAGGGCAATGCCTACTATCTTATATAAGTCTTACGGCTAGATTTCTTAGACTTGAGGAAGAGGTTAGCATTCTCTCTACCAAGCTTAAGATTTGAAATTCTCTCAAGGAGCTTCTTGTTCTCATCTCTTGAAGACGGATTTATCCATGAAACAATGAATATTCCATCTAAAAATGTTTTTGAAGCCCCCTTGGGACGTGAGGATCTTTGAAGAGCTAGCCCATTTAGATTACCCACATCTCCTCAATTTCTTTCTCTTCCTCATTTAGGCACACTCTTAGATTCACAAAAAAAGAAACTCATTAGCCACACAAAAGTTGAGAACATCAAACATATTTGATGAAAATGAAGGATGGGTAGAAACAATATCAACTCCTGGAGCATCAACTTCCTTTTTTCTTTTTCACTTCTTCCCATTGACTTGGCTTAGCTCCCATTGTGTCGGCCACTTGTTGAACCATAGCCTTCCATTCTTGTTTGGGTATACTTGGAGCTTGAGTTTTAGGCTTAGATGGACAGGTCCTTGTACTATGACACTATGACCAAATTTTTTGCATTTTTCACAGACTTGGGATTTCCAAGGAATTTTTACTTTGATTTCAAAAGATTTACCATATCCTAAGTCAATAAAAATCCTAAGTTAATAACAAAGGAGGGTGGAATCTCCTTGGTAGCTTCCACCTCAATACAAATTCTAACACATGTTAAACAACTATGATTTTGAGTAAACTCATCAAGATACAATGGATTACCGATTGGACTTGCTATGTAACTCAATCCCTCCTCAGTCCAAAGCTCAAGAGGCACATTAAAAACCTTTATCTAAGTCGTCACACTTGAGAAAACATTCATAGTAAGAGGCATACTAGGGTGCCATTTCTTGATAGCAATCTCTTTGCTCCCAAAATGATACGACCTCTCTTCAAGAATGAACTTTAAAGCTTGTTCATTATTGATCTTAAATACGAAGTAGCCATTATCCAAAGGTATAACTTTTTCAAGTTTTCCTTTCCACAACTCATAGGACCAAGTCTTCAATTAAAAGAAATATGCGATGCCATAAATTCAAAGCCATGAGATAATGCAAAAATATATGGTCCATTGATTCCCCATTCCTTCTGCACATGATGCACCATTGAGGATAAAGAAAATGAGCCAGTCTCTTCTTTTGAAACATATCATTGGTCATAATGCTTCCATGAGCTAACGACTGCATAAAAACCTTCACCTTAAGAGGCACTACCGCTTTCCTAATACTCTTGTGAAATGGAAAAGAAGAAACATTGGGCTTATCAATGATTATATCAAAAAAGGACACACATGAAAAGATATTGAAAGAGTCGTTTAGCTAGACCCGTCTATGACAAACTTTTGGAGGCAACGATAATTTATCAAGCAAAGATAACATAGATGCCAACTCAAGAGCTTCCTAATCACTAAGATTTCTAATGAAGTTAAAATTCCAAGAAATTGGTGCCAAATTAGAGCATGTCAAAGAAGCAATGAAAATATTTTGAGAACAAACCACTATATAAATGTGGGAATGCCCCGTCAAAGGAAGATTCACCCCACTCAAACATCCTCCTGAAATTGAACATTTTTCCCATTGCCCACTTTCACAGAAAGAAACTTACACATAAGTGGGAGAATACAACAAATAGATGTCCATGGAGATCGAAAATTACCCCTACTAACCACAGGAGTATCTCTGCCATTGACTTGAACCCAATGTTTACTTTTAATAATGGAATGCCATAATGAATTACATTCGACGGGAAATCTCCATAATCACTTTCCAAGAAGAGGAGCAATGTTCCTAGCCATTATGTTACCAATGACAAGGCCCCCTTTTCTTCTAGGAAGATAAACTACTCCTAATTCACCAAGTGATCCGTCTTCCCCTCATCCCGACCTTCCCAATCATATATCAAAGGAGGAAACTTGAAATTCAACTCTGTTGCCCTTCCAATTAGGCCCAAGAACTGAGGTTATAATTTAAACAGCATATGCTTGATTTCATGCAGTTCACTTTTTTTGTGTGTGTGTTTTGGGTGGCTGGGGGGGGGGTGTGCGGCATCAATGTACATGACCTTTCTGATTTGTCCCTATGTGATTCTTCATAAAAAAATGGTGTGGCATTGCGTAGCTTGATTTGATATGATCTACTTGGGTAGGGCATAGAAAAATTGACTTCAAGCAACTATTTGTTGTGGCAGTTCCATAATCCTCAACGGGTAGTTGCAAAAAAGGTCTGGCAAGGTGTCTCAGCAGTGGAATAGAGGTGGCACCAAAAAGGTGGTCTTAAGTCCTCAATTGGCAAGGACTATTTTTTATACCATTCTTGCATAATTCTCTTAAAAAGTATACAAGGTATTGCATGCTGCACATCTTGAAAAAAAAAAAAAAAAATTATGCTGTTTGAAATATTTTCTTTCCTGCCGAGTGGACTTGAGTTAATTTTTAATGACTGTAGGCTTTATGCCCGATTATGTTAATGTTATCTATAGAAACAACTTAAGTACTTAGGTAGTGTTTGGTAGAGTTTGCTAAATATGATTTGAGAATAAGAGTTGTATTTTGAGTTTGTAAGTTTTGGAATTATGATTTGAGTGTGAAAAATTTGTTTGGTTATAAGTTTTGAAAAGAGTTTTGGAAAGTAATGAATTGAGTTTGAAATGAATGATGTGACATATGATATTTAATTAAAAAACTTTACAACTCATAACCAAACACACAGTCCAAAATCCTATTCAAAGCTCATAAAGAAATTTTAAAAAAATTCTAGAAATATTTTTTATTTAAAATATAAAAATAACAGGTGCAAAAAAAAAAAAAAGGGAGTACACCGTTCCGGTCAACCTGCCGGACGTCCGGGGGACGACCAGGTTTGCCAAATTTTTCCGCCGGAAAGGAGTTTTCAAAAGTGGATGTGGAATTAATTTTTGAAAACTACAATCAAACACCACGTGCAAACCAAGAGGTAGAATTACAATTCCAAAGCTCTTCCAAACAGAGCCTTAATTTCTCCATATTTTGAAGTCAATTTGTAGGGGCAATTGATTACCTAATTGTCTGGCCAATTCATTATTGTAGGGGGTTAATAAAATAGTGTGGTCTTGTCCAAATGAGCCAACACTGGGGCTTCGATTATTTCATATTTCTACACTAATAATTTACAAAAAGGACATACATCATTGATGTTACTGAATGATCAAGTTTCTTGGAGTTTGGAAAATCACATATGAAAGTTTTTTTGGTAAGCCACTGAGAATTGAAGTTTATTTCGTTGCAATTGTGTTATTAATGAATTACTAGTTTGTTTTTCCTGCAGAAATATTTGGCTAATATTGAAGGGGTTGACTCTGTATTGTTTCTTCAAAAGAAATTAGATTTATTAATTAGTGGAGTGTTTTCCCTTTTCTATCTACCATTTTATTTCTTGGAACAGGTTGAGATATGTAGAACAAGAGTTGGCAAAGAAAAGGGGAAAGAACGTTGACGTAGCAAATCAGGTTGAGAATGAAGTAAAACATGCAGAGGATGAATTATACAAAATCCCCGAACATCTTAAAGTGAGTGAATTGGCCTTGTGGTGGGTTTCTTGTACTTCTTTCAAAGTGGTTTACAATTACCAAGTGATGACGAATATTTTTTTCAATCTTGTTGCTGCCATGGATGTTTAGTTAAAAATAATCTGGTTAGAGTTCTATTTATTTATTATATGTAGTCTGTTGCTAATTGCTATAGGTGCTTCGTTGAGAATACATTGACACTCCAGTTTACATCACTTAACAATTTCTTCACCCAACTCAATGCAGCCAAGTCTCATCCCATCTACTTGAGGGTGTGGACGCGCATAATTTTTTAGGTGGTTCACTTTGTCAAATGCCTGTCTTTCTCATGTTCTGTACTCTATTTTCTTTTTAGTTGTACCATGCATAATTCCAAACTGATTCTCTGATATTGTTGTTGCAAATTTTAAGCGAGGGTCAAGCACTCTCTCCCGCGATAAATATAACTCATCAACTTAATTCCTATAATTGCAATTTTAGATATCTCCTTTATTTTTATATATAAAGTACTCCCCGCACTTATCAATCTATTTCTTTTTTTTTTTTTGATCGGCAAATGTTAGTTGTTAGATTAACACTTATGGGAGAAAATCTCCCAACCCTTGGCAAATCACCTATGTGTTTACACTCTCTTAATTCAACCCTCCTAAGGGGAATTGAACCTATAACCTCCTTGGGACTAAACCCTAAGAAAGGCATGGTGGCCAACTGGGCTAGGCCGAGTTGGTTAATCAATCTTTTTCTTAGTCATTATATTTTTATTAAATTATTTTATTAAGTGTTCGACCTTTCCTTATCATTTGCTAACACCCTTGAATCCTCACTTTTCCAACCTTTGGCAAATCACCTAAGTGTTTACACTCTCTTAATTCAACCCTCCTAAGGGGAATTGAACCTATGACCTCCTTGGGACTAAACCCTAAGAAAGGCATGGTGGCCAACTGGGCTAGGCCGAGTTGGTTAATCAATCTTTTTCTTAGTCATTATATTTTTATTAAATTATTTTATTAAGTGTTCGACCTTTCCTTATCATTTGCTAACACCCTTGAATCCTCACTTTTTATACACTTTATCTAATTAAATTCTCTTGTTTTTATTTCTCTCAACTTCACAATGGAAATGTTCTTTAAACCTAATATAGTATAAAGGTTAGCATCTCTAACTATCATTTAAACCTCTTTGTTAGCCCATTTATATTTCTTAATATTCTCGTTTTTATTCTTTTGTCGCTTTTTAAAAGCATTCTTTTTTTCTCTCTTTTTACTATACCTTGTACATTTTAAGTTTCTTTAGACATGACATTATGTCACAAGCCGACTCTTTTGAGTGCACAGTGGAATAAATTTTTACCCGTGTGGTGCTTAAACAACACCAAGTCCAAGCCCACTAATCTCTTTAGACCATCTGAGTGTTGAATTTGCACCCATCTTGATATTTGTAGGCCCAATGTTTTTTCATGCAAGAACAATTCCCTTTCTTAAGTCCCACACTTCAAATGCCTCCCAAAGACATATTGTCCCTAACTGCACATCCACATATGGCCAACCATCTGCTTCGCTACACGATCTCTTCCATGAGCAAGGTGCTTGCCCCCACCGAAGGGTCCAATGTCATCAAGACGCCTCTTGCCATCCAACTGTCCACAAGAATTGTTGCCCACAGCTAAGCCAACTGATGTTTTCCAACCCTGTGCTAGTGTAGCCCCCTATCCTAGCTGACAAACTTCCATCACATGAATATGATCTCCTGTTATGTGCATCTCGAATAGCCACGGGGCCTTTCTTTTCCCTACGCATGACTGAGGGTCGCTTGCACACCTACAACATAATCTTTGTGTGCGGTGCGGTTCGGGCAGTTTGAGAGTAAAATTATAAACCGAATAGCAGATTGACAAATCGCGGTTTGGGCAGTTTTGGGCGAATTGGCGGATTGAAAATATTCTAATCAATTATTAAACATTTGCATAATTTATAATACTAATTTGCATAATATTTTTCATACATATAACACAAACTAATTTTACGTAATATTTTTCATATATATAACTACTAATTTGTAACAAATTTTACATCTTAAATTTCTCTCGCACTTATTTTTATTTTGATATTTCATTAGAGGCTAAAAAATATATATGTATTAACTATAGTGGAGCGGAGCGGTTTCGAAGACGGATTATAGAATTTAAAGTTTAATCCGCGGTTAGTGATAGAACGGTGCGGATTGATGTGGATCGATGTGGTTTTAGCAGTATTTTGCACGGGCCATTGCGTGCCTAAGGCGTTGCACGATTAAGGCATTGTTGGTCCATAGCCCATAATTAGCACTATACCTTCGCATAAGCTTAGTGTGAGGTGCCCTTACATGATGGTCATGCTTCATGCCTTTCCAAATGTTCCCACGATTAGTGGCTAAGAAGCATGGACACGGACTCGGGACACGACATGGACACGCCGACACGTTAATTTTCAAAAAAATGCATGATAAGACATGTGGACACATGAATTATATAATTTTATATATTTATTATATGTTATATATATGAATATATCATTTAAAGATAATAAAAAACGCAATATAACACTAATTCTTATAAATTTATATGGTTTTTGTTTTATTATTTTATCTTAAGTTGTTTTGTTCAAGCTTATAATCTATGAAGCATAGACACGGCAAAATCAGCGCCGTGGCGGTGTCGGACACGGGGACACGCCGGGGACACGTACGGGACACGCCATCTGCCGTGTCCATTTAATTTAATTGTTTTTCTTGTAGGGGACATGCGTGTCCAGATCTGGACACGGCGTGAGACACGGCAAGGAGGGAGAGACAAAGGAGAGAGTGTGAAGGAAGAGAGTGAAGAGAGACAAACCTGTCGAAGATCGAAGCTCCATGAATCCAGTCGAAGATCGAAGCTCCAAGCTCCATCAGTCGATCAAACAATCGAACACCCCAGACGATCGCGATTTGTCTCTCTCTCGCCTTCACAATCTGTCTCTCTCTCTCTCTCTCTCTCTCGCGATCGCGACCTCGACTTGTCTCCCTCTCTCTCTCTCCTTCTCTCTCTCCCTTGCTTCGGTCGTTTTATCTGAGGGTCTAACTATTATTATTATATATTATATAATAGTTATTATATAACATATAATATATTTATAAGATAATATATAATACATATTGTAAGATAATATATACTCATACATATTAATAAAAAATAAATAAACACGTGTATGTAAAATAAAATAAAAAAATTAATTATTTAAAAAATATAATAAATAAATCTATATATAGATTGTATAGGAATTGTAATTAATGAATCTTGTAATCTATCAATCAAGACATCAATCAATAATACATAAATTCTTACATGTCCCGTGTCCGTGTCCGTATGCGTGTCCGTGTCCGTGCTTCATAGCTTATAATTAGTTTCTCTACATGTGTCTAATCGATAGACACATATGTTTAAGCGATTGACACTTGTGTCCTCCAAGTGTCCAAAAAGAGTGTCCGGGTCTTTAAAAAATTTTAAAAAATAGGACACGTTTTGAAGAGTGTCGGACACGTGTCCTAAGAGTGTTCGAAGAGTGTCGGTGTCCGACACGGATACAACACAGATACGTCACCTTCTTAGAAGTGTCCATGCTTCTAAGATTAGCGGTGTTGCCACCAAACTACTAACTTTAGGCTACAAGACCCCCATGAGCATGGCCGAACCCAAGCACATGTCGTGAGTTGGCACACGTGGCTTTGGTGAGGCCTTGACAACCCATTCGGTCTAGGACAACACCACATGATGATAGAACTCGCGGCATAGCGGGTGCATGTCCCGAACCTTAGATGCACGCAGTATTGGCACTAATGCCCCTCAATGACACTATCCGTGGAGCTCCCAAACCCACATGGAGACCTAAGACACCATTCCAAGTAGGGATGGCAAAATACCCTGATCCGCCGGGTCCCCGTCCCTAATGGGATGGATTTGGGGGTGGTTGAATAGGGTAGGGTCAGATTTGGGGAAACTTTGGAAAATCCGATTGGATTCAGGTTGGGGAGAGTATTTTTTTAACCCTACCCGACTCGCAAATATAGTAATAAATAAACGAAAATATTACATATATATGTAATATGTGTATAATATATTGTTGAATTTTTATAGAATATATATAATATTTATACAATGTATTATTAAGTTTCTATTATTGTATAATTTTAATAAATGTACAATATATAATATATTTTTTTAATTATAAATATCTTTTTCTATTTTTAATTATTGAGCTATAATTTTATTGTTAAATTTCTGATTGTGTTGCGGATCGAGTAGGGTTGGGGGTGGGGATTATATTTGCGGGTTTGGATAGGGGTGTTGGATTTATTTTTCTAGTGTGGCCCAATAGCCTACATATTTTCTACATGTTTTTAATTTATTAGGGGCAGAAATGGGGGTGGGCGTGGGGGTGGGGTAGGGCCCCCCCAAGCCATATCCTACCCATTGCCATCCCTAATTCCTGGTGCCAAAGGCCCCCCCAAGCTACCTCAAGGTTGCTCACTTCAATCCCACTACATGTGGGGAGACTGGTAAGCAGCACACCATACCCTCTTAATATAGCATTCTGAGCCACTTGCTGACTGCCAGGTCACGATGGGGCGTCAAACCATTGACTTGGAACCCCAATGCCACTCGCACAAGCACTTCCGAAATGCCTTGACTGAGCTCTCCAAAGGTCGCTACACATGCATGTGTCACCATGTTGGACTTGAAAGGTCAACTCATGACACAACTATGAACCTCATAAGCTAATATTGGGCTTTCTAAATTATGCTTGTTGAGAAAGTTACTGCCGCCTCCCCTTTTTGTTCTTCCAATCTGTACAGTTCATATGCGTTTCTTTTTCATTAGTGTGTGGATCCCTGCCTGACATTTGTAATACGAACTGCGCGTTTGTCTCTACTCAGGTGAAGAGGCGGAACTCAGAGGAAAGCTCTACTCAATGGACTACTGGGATTGCTGAGGTTCAACTCCCCATTGAGTATGTCCTCTCATATTCTGTGGCAAAATATGAGTGTTTCTTCTCGGTTGTTACACTCCAATCCTTTTCTTCTTTTTTTAAATAATAATTTAATTTTTTCAATTGTTTTTGCTGTTAGATACCTTTTTTTTACCACTTCTGCGTGAGAGAGTGAGAATTGGTTGGCAAAAGGGCTGTTTTTTGTTGGCTGATATTTAACACTGCTGCCATGAGTCAGTTATCTGAGACTCAAAAGAAGGGAAAGAAAATGGTTTTCTCGTTTTTGTAGATTACCATGGTCATAGAGAATCTTCTGTGCGTACCTTTTTAGGGGTTTTATTTCCTGGTTTCGAATGATTGCAGATTCAAGCTAAAGAATATTGAGGAAACAGAGGCTGCCAAAAAGCTCCTACAGGAAAAGAGGCGCATGGGTCGAATGAAAACAGAATCTAGCATCCCTGCAAGTTATAGTGCAGATTATTTCCAACGTGGCAGAGACTATGCCGAAAAGCTTAGAAGAGGTTGTTTATAATAGTTTCTTGTTTCTCGGTTCCATTTTATGTAACATTAAACTGCAGCTTTCATTTTTTAGTTTACTTCACCTTCCTGCCAAATTGGGACTTCAACTGTAGGGAATTTGGATATGCTGTGTCCCTTTGACAGCGTATCTAAGTTTAGCTCACCTTTCCTGAAAAATTGGAAGTCACCCGTCATGATAGTCAGGATTTTAATTCTTGTTATTGTTTTTTTAGTCCCACTTTCCATTGACTGCTACCGTGTTACTGCTGCCTATTGCACTCCTGCTTCTAACCCTATTCCTACTCCCCCTCCTCCTCATCCTACACTGTGCTATTAGTATTGCTACTTACTTTTTGATGATTTAATGATGTTTAAAATTCTTGCAGATCATCCCGAGCTGTACAAGGAGAGAGGTGTAGAGGATGCTGGTCAGGAATCTAGACCAACTGATTCTGGTACAGATGCAGCAGGACGAAGGCAAGCTGCAACAGATGAGTTCATGCTTGAGCGCTTTCGCAAACGTGAACGCCATCGTGTGATGCGGAGATAACACGCAGCTGAGAATTCATTGCATCTCAGTGTCAGATCAAATATGGTCTGTGTAATGGATTATCACTGTGTGTTCTAACTTATCCTGCACTTATCAAAAGGAAAGCAAATAAATTAAAACCTAAAAAGAACAAAAAGCTTATCCTGCCTCTATATGCTGGTTCATTCAGCTACGTGCACACGGCCATGAGAAAAGTTTGATGCTTTTATCTTTATAAATATCTGTGGTGGTGGTCTTTGTAATGATTGAAAGCTTCCGGAGATGTAAACTGTCAGTGACTATTGTTGTGACTTGATAGAGGATACAAAATTTGATTCGTTATCCAAATTCCCTACAGTTGGAAAGGAGTGGAGAGGAAGGAGGATTGCTTTCGGTGCAAGTTTCACAATGCAAAAATATTTCATCTTCTGTCTCTGCACAACCAGCATAAGAGCATCTCCAACAGATGTCTTATACTTACTTTTTAGCTAAAATGAAGAGTTTTTTTTAATCAAAAAAATTATCTGCAACTAATCCCTTAGTCAAACCCCTACATATTAAAAAAGGTTGCTACAGTCACTTCATTTGTAGGGAGTTACTGTAATTTTCCTAAACATATAAAATTTTTATTTTACTCCAATATGGCAGCCAACATGCGCTTCTAAGTTTAAGCAAAAACATATTTTGTAAATGTTTTGGATTTTGAATTAATTGTACTTGGTTCTGTTTGTCGATTACCATTGAATTTTTGTTTCTTTATTTTTTTTTAAAATTTAAAACCAAACATGATTTGATATTCTGAGTCTTTAATAATCAGAAATTATCTAACAGATCCGTAAGATCACATGTTTATGTGTTCGTTCAATGATATTTTATCATTTCTCTACCATTTAAATTTAAAAAATAATAACAAAAGAAATAATATTTTAATCCAATGGAGAAAGAATAAGGAGTATTGTTGGATAATGTAGTTGAAAAAGCGACTCTCTGAACTACGGAATTCATTTTTTGGTTAAAATTTGAGGAACGAATAAAGTGTTGTTGGAGGATGCTCCAAGAGAAGTATATAAGGGATATTTTTGTCTTTTAACTTTTCCATTATAGTAGCCATTCACTGGGACAAGGGGATACTACTATGCCTAGGTAGGCACAACAACTTGCTGTGCCCCTTGTAGGGATCGATATTGGACCTATGTGGATGATTCAAACCGTTCATATTTTAGGATTCGTCAAGTAGATCATTCATAAAAAAAAAAGAAAATAAAAATCAAATCAATTGGACATTTGTAATCACAATATCACATACGTTTTGAAAAAAATAAACGGTAAACATAAATTTGGTAATAAGTCATATTTAAGGCCTTGATCATGTAGTTACGACTGTCCAATAACTTAATTTTTGTTATGTATATTCTACTCGACAAACTCTACAATATGAACGGTTTAGATTATCAAAATAGTCTCAATTAGAGGTGTGTGCGGTGTAGTTCGGACAGTTTGTGAATAAAAAGTATAAATCAAATGGCAGATTGGCGGATTGACAAATCGTGATTTGGGAAGTTTTGGGTAGATTGGTGGATTGAAAAATATTCTTAACAAATTATCAAGCATTTGCCTAATATATAATACTAATTTGTATAATATTTTTCGTATATATAACACAAACTAATTTTACATAATATTTTTCATATATATAACTAATAATTTATAATAAATTTTATATCTTAAATCTCTCTCTCACTCATTTTACCTTGATATTTCATTAGAGGTTAAAAATATAGTGGAGCGGAACTATTTCAAAGGAGGATTATAAATTAATGTTGAATTTGTGGTTAGTGAATAGAACAGTGTGAATTGGTGCAGATTGATGCAATTTTATCAGATTGTGCAGTATTTTACGTAGTCCTAGTCCCAATATTGACCTCGGGAGAGGGGCCCAACAGTACCTCCATTCCCCATTCACTAGAAGACTCTATTTGCACCCGAAAAATTAGATTGGACACCCCAATTTAATAAAACTTTTTTTTATTATTTTTAGGTCCCCATTTAAAATGCCCAAAAAGTACTTAATATTGAAAAAAAATACAAATCTAAGGTGTTTTGGACACCCATTCATAATCAAACTCAATCTTTCCTTCTTTCTTCAATTTTCTTCTTACTCTCTTCATTTTGCATCTTCATATTCACCCCTATTTTGCTTAAATCTATCATTCTTGCATTCTATTTCATATTGAAGTTAACAATGGGCAATGAAGAAGATGTTTCTAAGCAATTTTTATTTTTATTTTTATTTTTATGGAGAAGTTAAGTTTTCTATTCATGTTCATTGTTTTCGACTGTTGGGTTTACGCAATATGTTTGAAAATTCAGTACGTAACAAATTACAGTTATTCAGAAACTTGTTTCTAAACAAAATTCATATATTTGACAATGTGTTCGAAATAATGGTCATTATTCAGTGTTTAATATCCAAACAATTGTCTATGTTCGGCTCTGTGTTTCCGAACATTTAATTGTTCACATATTCCAATTTCAAACAAAGAGAACTATCTGATATTATATCTCCAATCAAATTACATATGGTCAAAAACTTATTTCTAAATAAATTTAATTTTGTTCGGTAATGAGTATCTAAAAACAATTAAAATATTCAACTCTGTATTTCCATACTTTTAAACTTTCTATCTTCTCCTATTATGGTTTAGGGTGATGTTTTTATATGAAGTAGTAAAATTTCAACAGAATGTCTAATGGAATTTATTAGTAAATTTATCACTCATGAGGTATGCTACGCACATAAAATTAGTAATTGTAATGTGTATTATCAATATGAATATTAGTTGTTATTTTTGTCTTATATATAAATATTCAAGAGTTTAGGAGCATTAATTCGATTGGTTCGTGACATAAGAAGGATGAATAGTTTTGTAATTGTTACAAAGAGAGCTGAAAGAAATGGTTATTATAGAGATATAAGAAAAAACATAAAGGTCTAGAGACAAATGAATTTCAAGCTAACTAGCACAAAAAAGATGTGGTTGTCCTTTTTAACAAAAAGGAAAGAAACTCGACACAAATGATGATTGGATGTTGGAAGTCGAATGCTAAATATATACTGTTTTAAGTACTTTTAATCAAGTGTTTTGACTGTGTTTATAACCTTAAATAATTTAAATGATATGAATGATAAGTATTTAATTTTTAAGTACCCAAAATTATTGTTTGGAACTGAGGCAATTTAATATTTTTGGAATTGATTATCCAGGTAGAAAAGTTGGAACCAATTTTCTGTTGTTCGGGATTTGAGTTTTCGCACATATTTCATTTGTTCAGTACCAAATATTCGAAGCAATTTCATAATTTTGGAATTAAATATATGAACATATTTAATTTGTTCGGCACTAAGTATCTGGATAGAATAACCAATCTTTTGTTATTCGGAATTGAGTATTCAGATGAAAAAGCTTAACCAATTTTCTGTTGTTTTGAACCGAGCATCCTGGCATATTTCATTTATTCGGCACTGAGTATTTGAAGAAACTGTAAAACTCACATTTTTCAAAGAATCAAAATAAAAATTCCCAAATTGATGGAATACTAAAATATCCTAAAACAATGGGGGGTTGGAGACAAAAGAGGGGTTGGAGACGATGGATTAGCGACAAGGGTGTTGGAGACGGCGGGGTTGTTGGCGACGACAAGGTTTGGCGATGACGGGTTGACTTTATCGTAAAGGATGAGTTTGTGCTTCTATTGTAACTATTAGACTAACAAGGTGTAGAAAGTAGGTTTCTAATATATTTTTAGAATTTTTAAGATTTTTAGGGGAATAATAGTCATTTGGGGTGTCCAAAAAAAAAAAAAAAAAAAAAATTTAAATTTTTTTTGTTGAGGTGGGGAAATTCTATTTCCATACATCTAATTAACTCAGGATACACACTTAATAAAATATTAATTTAATGACAATTATATCCGAAATGAAAATGACCATAATAGATATTCAACAACACCCATAATATTATATGAAAAAATTCTTTATACATATCTTTTAAGAACAAAAAAAATCTCAATGTATACCTTTTGAGTTAAAAAAAATTAAATCTTAATTTTTCCATTGTTGTCACTTTACTTGTTACACATTCTATACTCCTCTATTACCTACAAAGCAATATTCTCAAAACATCTCGCTTTTGATTTCATTCAGAACTTTAGTGCCTGTTTACAAGTGGAAAAACTGATTTCAAGTGCCTGATTTCAATGTACAAGTGGAAACATCTCGCTTATGAGCGAGATCGTGCAATGACAAGTGAAAAAAAAAAAAGAAAAAAATTCCATTAGAAACTTTAGTGCCGACGAAACACGTAATTTTCGGAACCCAAATGTCAAAAATATTGCAACCGTTCCGAACTAATTGGTCGAAATAATATATTTTATTCAGAGGTTAAGTTCCAAAATAAATCTATAGTTTTGGAAACCCAGTGTCAAAAGCCCAAACCAGAAATCTTAAGAACAAAATTGAGGGTTTTATGTCAATGGAGTGCACAAAGATATGAAAATGATAGATGCAATAACAAAATGACAAATGTAATAATAAAATAGAAAGTTGTCTTACCTTCAACACTATTTTTGAGAGTTTTCAATAGAGGAAGCATCACTTCAGACTTTGGTCTTTCTTTAAGGGCGTGGGTGGGTCTACAAATGTGGAAGTAGAGTCAATCAAAAGTGTGTGAAAAAAAGAGATAAGTGGTGTGCGTACAATGATTATGACTAATGATGTAATTGTAGCTTTAAGTGTGTGGATTGAAAAAATTAATTAATAATCAAATTAATTAGTGTGTGTATTGAGAAAAGATGTTCACTGAGTTAATTAAGTGCGTGGAAATAGAATTTCCCGTTCAAATGTTCAAAGTAATAGGATGCCTAACCTAATTTTTGAGGTGCATTTAGAACCCCCCATTTACTTTTGTAATTTGGTATTTAACATATCAGGGAGAGGTTCATTGTTATAACTCAAACTTTAAGGGGGTCATATGTTTTTTGATAAAATGACAAAGGGTTAAAGTATAATTTGGTAAAGTGTAATTTATCCTAATGAAATAGCCGATTTAACTAAGATAAATTAAGTGACTGATCAAGCAAATAATAATATATATTTTTTTAAAGTTTGGTAGTCTTAAAATATATATATATATATATATATATATTTTTATGTAGTTTACTAAATGACTGCTTAGAGAAAGTAAATGAGAGTTAAAGGGTAGTACCTTTAGCATATTGTAATAAGAATTTCAAAATTGTTGAATTTATCTCATGACATTTGAATTACAAACTTTCAAAACTTT